AGCCAGCGTCCGGTGCTCAACCCTAGCCACTGTGCCGTCTGACAGCTCGACCGGACGCAGCCTTTCAGCGTCCGGTCGCTGAGTGACCCAGCGTCCGGTCAGTAGACCGACGCCAGCATCATTTCGATCAACTCCATTTCAACTCTTACTTCTTCACCCTTGCTCAAGTGTGCCAACCACCAAGAATTTTGCATCCGGCGCAATAGAAAATAGACATTTCATTTTCCCGAAAGCGCCCAAACCCATCTCAACCCTACAAACACCTTGTGCACATGTGGTAGCATATTTACACAAATATTATCAAGGGTGTTAGCACTCCACTAGATCCTAAATGCATATGCAATGAGTTAGAGCATCTAGTGGCACTTTGATAACCGCATTCCGATACGAGTTTCACCCCTCTTAATAGTACGGCTATCAAACCTAAATGTGATCACACTCTCTAAGTGTCTTGATCACCAAAATAAAATAGCTCCTACAAGTTATACCTTTGCCTTGAGCTTTTTGTTTTTCTCTTTCTTCTCTTCAAGTTTAAGCCCTTGATCATCTCCATGCTATCACCATTGTCATGTTATGATCTTCATTTGCTTCTCTACTTGAAGTGTGCTACCTATCTCATGATCACTTGATGAACTAGGTTAGCACTTAGGGTTTCATCAATTTACCAAAACCAAACTAGAGCTTTCAGCTGCCACGGTGGCAGCCTAACCGTGCCGCCATGCATGGCGCGGTAGAGTGGTGTGCCCGCACCATGTCAGTTGGCACGTCCAAAAGTGTTAGTTTTGAAAAAAAGCAGTGTCAGTTTTAAAAATAGTTTAAAAAAGTGTTAGAAATAAAAAAATCCCAGCAGGTGAGCAGCGTGCGTACCACCATGCGCACCGCCTTACGAGTGGTCGACAACAACCGAGGGGCTCCTGGCCCATTGTGTTTCCCTCGAGCGGCGTATAACCCGGCGGCCGCCGCATGCCACCTAGGTGATATTCTCAACACGTCGGACCCAAAGACAAGCCAGAAGATCCAAGAGGCAGGCGGATAGCTCGACTTGACATCGTCCTCTGAGAAGCAGGTAGATAGCTTGACATCCCATCGCCGTAACGCCACCTCGAGGCCATCTCAGCCGGCACCACCTTTAGATGGGCAGCGCTCTGCCATGCACGCCCCTCACAACTGCAGCAGCCACAACAGCTCCGCTAACAACTCTGACTGACCGATAGCAAGAGCGGCCAAGCCCCGACGCGAGCGGTGAGATGTGCCCGACCTAGATACGGGTGACTGAAAGGTCCTTGTGTGGTTTTGGTAATTGAGTGACAACCTAGGTGGACTAATTGTGTTTATGTGAGATACACAGGTGATTAGTCCACAGGTACATGTGTGTGAGCAACATATGCCATGAAGGTAAAAATGGCTTGGAGATGTTGCAAAGCTCACACATGTGATGATGAAGGAGCTTATTGCAAATGAGACATGACATTGAGTCATGTGATCAAGGTGGAGAAGATCAAGACAAGACTTGGCTTGATGGACCGGTTGCAAGCGTGAAGGGCAAGTCGAAGGATTTGGAGTGATGGACTGCGTGGCGGTGAAGCTTGAGCAAGACTTGGCGCCGATGGACGATGGCAATGGTGAAGAGCAAGTGAAGTCAAGATCGATGAACCAATATGATCATGTGATGATATGAAGTGGATCATATCATTGTTGATCATGTTGGTGCATGTGTTGCATCGACATTGGAGGAGATGGAATGAAATGCGCAAGGCAAAGGTATAACCTAGAGCATTTCATTTCATCGGTCATAGGTGTGTAGAGAAGTTTATGAACGGGTTTAGGATAGATGGCCATACTATCAAGAGGGGCAAACTTGTTTGCATATCGGTCATCTAGTGCCACTCGAGTAATCTAACTTTGCATCGTCGCTAGGATTGAGTGGCGTGGCAAGTTGAGTTACTAACATCCTTTGGGAAATGATTGTGAAAATGCTAACACACATACACATGGTGGTGTACACTTGGTGGTGTTGGCACATTTACAAAGGTGATGAAGTTGGAGTTGATGTGGATCAACTCGGTGATGAAACAGAGGAGAGAAGGGTCGAAACCCCACCGACGGAGTGTCCGCCCGTAGAGTGCAGACAGTCCGACGGTGCCACCGGCACCCTAGTTAGAATAGACAGGGTCTCACAGAGTGGACCGGACTCTGGTCACGCAGTGACCGGACGCTGAGTTCCAGCGTTCGGTCAGTGGTGGCAGAGAGTATGCAGCGTCGGTCTATCAACCGGACGCTGGCTCTGGAAGTGACCGGACGCTGGCTGTGAGCATCCGGTCAAGATGACATATGGTGATGCAGGTAGAGCAGAGAAGCTGCGAGTGACCGGACGCTGGTGCTGCGTCCGATCGCGTTTGATCGGACGCGTCCGGTCATGTTCGGTACCTTACTGGAAATGACCGGACGCTAGAGGCTCAGAGTCCGGTCAGTTGTTGCTGGAGCGTCCGGTCGACAGATGACCATTGAGATCTAGTGAACAGCTTTTGAAGGAGGAGACACGTGGCGTGCATCGCACGATCGGACGCTGAGGTCCAGCGTCCGGTCGATCTGACCGGAGCGTCCGGTCGTCCCGACTTTTGCCCAGTGAAGGAGTAACGGCTCTATTTGTTCGTGGGGTTATAAATAGAAGCCATGGTCGGCCTTGGGCCGGTAGCTGAGCACACTAGAGCCTTGGTGGCTTATGTGGTAGTGCTTGGGAGCCCTCCATCACACATATACTTGATAGTGATCATTCGATTGTGTGAGAGAGCGATTCTAGTGCGATTGCATCGTAAGGTTGCATCGAGTGGCACTAGGTGATCAAGTTGCAAGCCGGTGGTGCTTGTTACTCTTGGAGGTTGCCACCTCCTAGATGGCTTGGTGGTGGTCTCCGTCGAAGCCCGCAAGAAGCTTGTGCGGTGCTCCGGAGAAGGGCTTTGTGGGGGGCATTGTGCTCGCCCCGCGGGAGCCGCGAAGAGCAACTTTAGTAAAGCGTGTTATTGAGCTACCCTCACTCAAGGGGTAGGTTCTTGCGGCGCCCGACGTGCGGGCTTAGCGGGTGATGCTAATTAGCCGCCGAACCACTAAGTGAGCGGTCGACACAACGGGGACTAGCATGTTGGCAAACACGTGAACCTCGGGAGAAAAATCATCGTGTCAACCTTGTTCTTCCCGTTGGTTTGCTTCCCCATTACACAAGCTTGCATTTACTTTCATATATATTAAGCTTGTGTAGTTGCTCTTGTAATTAGTTTGCTTGTGTAGCATATTAGTTGCCTTCTTGCTTGTGTAGCATAGAAGTAGCTCCCTTGCGTGGCTAATTTGGTTTGAGTAACCTTGTTAGTCACATTGCTTAGTTTGTGTAGCTAAGTATTTGCGCTCTCTAATTTGGCATTGGTTGCCTTGTTATTGAGCATTGCTAGTGAGTTTAGGTGGCTTTGTGCTTTTGCTTACTAGTATGTGTAGGAGCTCCCTTGTCGCTTAAAGTATTAGTGGCATAGGTTTGTGTGACCTTGCTCCTAGAATTGCTTAGGTGAGCTCTAGCTAGCCCGGCACCTTAATTGCTTAATTAGTATATTTGAAAGGTGCTAAAGAACATAGATAGAGGGGTGTAGTCTTGGCTAGACCAATAGTTTGAATTCCGCACTTGTTTCGGTTAGCCGACGCGATTAAGTTTTAAAAAGGATTATTCACCCCCCTCTAGTCGCCATCTCGACCTTTCAGTGACCCGCTACCCCAAGCGTTTCCGACCGCTGACCCACGTTGGCAAGTATGATGGGGACACTGACCTTAACCATTGGCTCGAGGACTATCGACTTGCAATGAGGGTCGGAGGGGTGGACGATGACTTCGCGGTCCAATATACATCCCGTTGCTCCTGTCAAGCTTGGCGAGAGCGTGGCTTGAACAGCTAGATGCCGGTTGCATCATCAACTGAGGCAACCTCCGCTCGACCTTCGTATGGTATTTTCAAGGTACACACCCGACCTAGAAACTCTTGGGATTTTCATAACTGCAGGCAAAAGTCGGGGCGAAGCTCTATGAGAGTACATCCGACGCTTCTTCTGGAAGTGCAATGAGCTGCCCATCGTCACCGACGCCGATGTCATCAACGCCTTCACCTATTGCACCACGTCCGAGGCACTTGTCCACGCGCTTGGGTAGGTGTGGTCATGCACCCAACCACCCAGGTTCAAATCATCTCTCAACTTGAATTTGGATGTATATTTTTCTTGTTAATGAAAACCGCTTAGTTTCTCACAGGTTGGATCTCATTTTAAAGCACATTTATATGGTATATCATTTTACTCAAGGAGTTATTGCTAAGGTAATACTAAAGTATACAAGACAAACACCCATGAAAGAACAAATAATGTTCCTGTAGTTAAGTTTGAGTTATGCTAAACCTTACTTGGCGTTAAAGTTGAAGCCTTAAAATCATGTCTTTTATCTATATCTCTTATAAAGCTAATCCCCACTACAAGTCTATCTCAGCATGTAAGCCATCCACATCATGTTCCACTAACAGCCACGTGATCCCACTAATTTCCAACTTCTTAATTGCAAGCTATATGTCATCATCTCCAATTAATTTGGTTACAAATTCTTTACAATCCCGCAGCAATGCGCGGGGTATCTTCTAGTTCAATCTTAGAAACTAGACCAACTTAGGCTAAGTTTGAGTTATGCTCACTCTTAATTGATGTTAAAGTTGAAGTCTTAAAAATCATGTCTTTTATTTAATCATAAAAACTAGAGCAACTTATAGGAAGACGAAAATACACCCAAATTCACTTCAATAGGGACTTGAACTTGCATGCCCTCAACCAACTGAGCTAGCTCAACTTTTGTCTCTCTTTAATCTTGTTTCATATTATTTGATAAAAGATCTCACATAGTAATATATTATTCATATATACAAGTGCTCATTCATGAATTGATGCTCTGCAATGTATCAAACATACCCCGCCTACCCGCCTCTAGCTTGAAGCCACCCTAAACGGACGGAGTAGATACTTCCTGGCACCCCAAATCAGTTCCACCATCGCCATGGTTTCCTCCTTCAAGCGCACGTCAGTGCCGGCTCTCACAAATGGCCCGAAGAACATCTCCGATATGGTGACCACCATGAAGGCCGTGACAAGAAGGTACGCCACCGCTTTGTTCGGCCGCCACAGCCCAGCCGCCCTGGCCCATCGCTCAGCGATCTGGAACGCGGCGTGGAACATGAAGAAGAGCAGCATCTCACCTCTGGGCTGCTGCAGCGTCAGGTACCAGTACAGGAGTTCGTGGAGCAGGCCCGACATTAGGAACGCGGCCAGCACGCCGACGTCCCGGCCCCACCTAGCGCGCACGGGCTCGTACGCCGACTCGCGGAGGAGGTCGACGGCCATCAGGTTCCACTGTCGGCCCCAGAAGCCGTTCAACGAGGTGACGGCGAGCGGCGTGTTGAACTGTCTCTCCAGGCTCGCGCCGCCCATGAGTGCCGCGGAGACTAGCATGACACAGGAGAACACGAGGTCGAGCGTGAGGAAGATCTGAATGCAGTAGAGATAGTGGAGCGCGTAGAGCGGGAGCCACCCCGTGTAGGGGTACGCCACGGTGAGGCAGCTGAGGAGCAAGACGCTGCGGGCGCAGGGCCTCAAGAACTCGGCGCCGGGCGGCGGCGACGACGACGACGGCGGCTGATTCTTAGTAGGCTGCTGCTGGCTCTGCCGGAGACGGACCTTGATGGGGAGACCGGCGCAGAGGACGAACGGCAGGAGCGGGAGGCGTGGGTGGAGCGGGCCGAGGTCGAGCGCGAGGAGGACGAGCTTATTGGTGGCCAGCCAGGTGTGGAAGAAGGTGGAGAAGAGGCGCAGGTGGAGGGAGCTGAACATGCAGGGCATGTACACGAACACTGGGAATGTCGGGAGGAGCGCGGCCAGGCGCGGGATGCCCGGGCGAAGGCAGCAAGCGGCGAACCGCGCGTACACCGCGCACGCCGGGGTGAGCAGCGTCGCCCACGCGAGAGCCCTCAGCTCCGACTCCATCGTGGGCAGGGCGACGGCCTGCATGGCTGGCGCACGCGATCACTGATCATGTTCTTGAATGCGACGAGCACACGTACATATATATGTGCGGGCATTTTTTTTCCGTATGGCAGAGGCAGCAAATTTTGCAGCGCGGGATGCGGGGTCATGTGGATCGTCGCGGCTGGATGATGCAGGCTCTAGCGGTGTTTAGTTTGACAGGGGCAGGGAACATATCAGGTTTGAGTGAATCGTGGGGGTACGCCACCACCTGAATTTAGGAGCGCATAATGGCTCACGAAAATGTCATGATCAGTTGATCACAACCAAGAAACACACAACATAGCCGTGGTGTCCAGCTCCTAATAGGCAGCAACACGGCCTTCTCATAAAGTACGTCTTTGGAGTGAACGGTTATTTTTTTGGAGGAGTGAACGATTATTGTTGTTGGACTGCCCTTCTGCCGCAGCTTGTTGGTTTACTCTACAGGATCGTATAAGGACGGTCCGTACGCAATTTTTTTAATACCTAACACCAGTGACCCCTTTGATGTCCTAGTGAGCTTCAAAGATCAGCTTCAGCTCCCTTTCTTCATAAAGATTATCATCACAATGTGCTAGGCTATTTGCACAATATGAGCCTTCAGCATTCCATGCAACGTTGTAAGGGTGTCTTCGAGCAAAAGTTTGCTTCTAGTTATTCTATGAGCAAAAGCAAGTTATCATCCCCGGATAGATTTATGGCTAGATGTCTTTGTGGAATTCTTTTTATTTTCTTTTGTAACCTTTTTGTTTGTTGCGCCTTGTATTTGAGTACTTTTCCTTTTTAAAAAAATCCAGTAGGGATTCACACCCCTCCTATTTCGTAAAAAAAATGACGTTTCGTGGGAAGGGTGGGCATGATCATAACAATAATGTATATACAAACTCAATTGCACTGTCACAACCTTTTCGTTTCTTGCGCCTTGTATTTGCGTACTTTCCCTTTTTAATAAATTTCCGGTAGGGATTCACACCGTCTTGCTTCGTAAAAAAATGATGTTTCGTGGGAAAGTGTGGGCATGATCATAGCAATAATGTACTCCCTACAATTCGTCGGTTATCAGTATTAGGGATACATAGAAGAAGAAAACTGATGGCCGCGAACGCTAACTCGCCTAGATGGTCAAGAGCGTATTTTGGTCTCGCCTGACCCTGAAGGTACGTGCTCCGTGTCGTCCGACCCCGAGGACGCGGGCCCCGTCTCGCCCGATCCCGAGGGCGTGTGCTCCGTCTCGTCAGACACCTCGGGCGCGGGCTCCGTCACGTCTGACCCCGAGGGCGCGGGCTCCGTCTCATCCGACCCTGAGGGCGCGGGGTCCGTCACGCCTGACCCCGAGGGTGCAGACTCCGTCTCGCCCGACCCCTCGGACGCGGACTTCACCTCGCCAGACCCCTCAAACGGGGATTCCGCCTCGCCCGACGAGGGTCCGTACCGCCACCAACCACTACGGGTCTAAGAGTACGAACCCATGGTCAAACTTCTGACACCAGAAAGGGAGTAGGCGCGTCTTGACGTAACCCGCGGCCATGACGGACCATACCTGAGGACTCACGTCGCCAACAGTGTCGGACGCGCTGGCGTTATGCTTCCTAATCACCGTACGACTTCCGACGGGGGTATCTGCTAACCATGTTGCCCGTGCGGGACGGCATGGAGCGCGACGACCGGTTGACGATGTCCGCGTATGGCGCCAGTGATGAACAGGGTCGCGACGTGAAGCCATCCCCGTCATCATCTGCAGGACTGGTGGGACTCGCGTAAAGGAGATGAAGGGTGCCACAACCCCGGAGGCCTTCTTCCTCCTCGCTTCTCTCTCTCTCTCTCTCGTGTAACCTGCGCCTCCCCGTTCACCTATAAAAGGGGAGCAGGACGCCCCATGGGGGGAGAGTTCAACTAGACTCAACTCCATTCGATCCTTCCATCAGAGACTTGGGACATTCTCCCTCTCTCGCCCATTTATAACCCCTACTACAAACAAGTGCCGGTAACATGAGTAGCCTCAAACTAGACGTAGGGACATTCCGCCCGAACCAATATAAACCCTTGTGTCCTCCGAGCACACCATCCGGGCCAGACGCGCAAACACAAATTTACTAGTCGGCGGTTCGAAACACTGACAGTTGGTGCCAGGTAGGGGCCTTTTGTGCGTCTCGTTGTCCACAACAGGCCATAGATTGCTAGTCACGGTGTCAGTTGGATCCCGGGCGCGCACGTGCGCTTCGGGAGCCTGGATTTCTTTGTCACCGCCGAGGGAGAGCTGGCGCGGGTTCTCGCCCCCGTCCAACTTCTCCGCTCCACCGGCCTCGATGCAACCGTCGAGGCCCTCGAAGAGCTGCAGCTGCACGCCCCAGAGGCTTGTGCCCCCAGGAGCTCCTCGGCTTCGATTACGGGAGGCTAGAGTGCCAGCTCAACGTCTTCCTAGGACCCCGACCGTCCTGGGAGGACCTGCACTGCCTCACCTTCTCGTTCGCCAACTCCATGACGTAGCTTGCCAGAGGGGAACCGCTCTCCCCGGAATACCTCACTTGGAGCGCCCCGACAGCATTCCCGTTCGGTCTGCGCAACGCCGCAAGGACCATTGGTCACCTCATGGCACAACACATGCACCCATCCCCCACAGATGACGAATTTGTGGGTATGACAGACTACATCGTAGAATCTTTCCACGACCTTCTCGTGGGAGATTTGGAAACGATCTCCGCCTCTGACTCCAGCAGGAAAAGCCATCACCGCTCATGAGAATGCTTCATGGCAGGCACCCCCAAGGGACGCATCAAAAGCGTCCATGACAGAGGGCTACTCCTATGGATGACCCCGATGATGAGGTTGAGGGAGATGCGGGGCCCCGCCTCACCTGCGGGTGGAGCAGCTGAGGGCACGGCACAAGGAGATCAAGGATGCACGACTCCAGCTAGAGTAGGAGCATATGGAGTTCGAGCGCGAGATCGAATGCCGCCAAGACGGTGGCCGTGCACACACCATCGCCTGTGACGTAAACCGGAGGATCATCGAGGATGACGGAGGCCTCCCGCACTTTGCCCAGGCAAGCCAGAACATAGCTGCCGCACGCTACTCGAGCGCGCGGCGGTGCAGTAGGCGAAAAACTCATTGTCTCGGCGATGCGAGCTCGATGCCAATCCGCGCGTGTCTTCGGGATGCCTCCAGGCACCGCGCCACGGCGAGGGGCCTGCCATGGTCCCGGTGCATCAGGGTCTCGGCCCTAATCGTGACGCACGTAACACCCTGGATGTCCGTAGGAGCGGACGGGGGACAAGAGAGAGGAGGCCAGCCACGGCTACCACCCTCATCACGACAGATGCTATGATAGCGGTGAGGACTGGAGCCTATGCCCCAATCTGCCAGGGCCCTAGGCTTTCGGCTGGCATATCCTCAACGCGGCTTTCCCGCCGAGGTATCGACCACTGACCAACATCCTAAAATACTCTAGGGAAACAAACCCTGGCCAGAGGCTCGAAGATTACTAGCTTGCTTGTCAAGCGAGTGGTGCGGATAGTGATTATGTTAATATCCATAACCTCCCCTTGCTCCTGGCCGATTCGGCATAAACATGGCTGGAGCACCTTCCGCCCAACCAGATTCAAAGCTAGGCAGACCTGAAGGAGATCTTTGTGGGAAATTTCTAGGGCACCTACACATGCCCTGGATACCCCTAGGATCTAAAGAATTGCTGATAGAAGTCTGGGGAAACTCTCCGTGAGTACATCCGATGCTTCTCCAGGCAATGCAACGAGTTGCCCGACGTCGCCGACGCCGACACCATCAGAGCCCTCCTATCCGGGACCACCTACGAGTCCCTGGTCCACAAGCTGGGACACAAGGGCCCTCGGACCACCAAGGAGCTCCTTGACATCATGACTAGCCATGCCTCAGGTGATGAGGCGGTCGGAGCAATTTTTGACCATCCCAAGGGCAAAGCGAAGTGGGACGAGGATGCCGGCGAGGGCACCTCCAACTGCCCGAACAAGAAGAAGAACAAGCAGTGATACGGGGGCTTGCTCGTGGTTGCTGCTGGGCAGAAAGGCATCCGGGCGCCGGCTGAGGGCGCTCCCGACCACTTCGAGAAGCTACTCGAGGGGCCATGCCCGAACCACACCTTCCCCGTCAAGCACCTATACAAGGTCTGCGCACTCATGAAGCGTTTCTTGTCCAACAGCTGCAAAAAGGGGGACCAGGGGAAGAAGCCTGAGCCAGTGGTGGACGACACCAAGGGGAAGGATGGCGGCTTCCCGACGCTAGATGGCTGCCTCATGATCTACGATGGGGAGGCGGCTTATGACTCCAAGCGCCGCCGAAAGCTCGCGTGTCGTGAGGTCTACGCGGCCGAGCCAGCCACGCCGTCTTTCCTATGGTGGTCAGAGTTCGCCATCACCTTTGATCGATCCGACCACCCAGAGAGCGTTCCGTAGCCAGGAAGGTACCCGCTCGTGGTTGACCCAATCGTCGGCATGAAGCGGCTCTCCAAGGTGCTGATGGATGGAGGCAACGGCCTCAACATCATGTACGCCGAGTAACTTGATGCCATGGGCATCGACCGGTCACGCGTCTGAACGACCGGGGCGCCTTTCCACAGCATCGTGCCAGGGAAACAAGCCGTACCGCTCGGGCAGATCAAATAGTTCCGTCGAGCGCACCCCACGGGAGAACTCGAATCAATCCATGTTTTGCCTCTAGAATCCAATAATGAGTACGAGCTTACAATACTTAGTCCATTTCATATAACAAAGGTTCTTGGAAATTATTTATTACAATACCAGGGTTTAGAGTGCGATAATTAAACAGCGGAATGAAAATAAACATCTAGCGGAAATGATACAAGGATTCGTCTGTGCCCACCAGAAGAATCCTCCATACAAGAGCTACTCCTCAAGCTGCACCTGCAACAGGGTAAAATAAACCCTGAGTACATAATGTACTCGCAAGGCTTACCCGACTGGTGGAAATAGTTTCCCGACTCTCAAGGATATGATAGGTAATATGAGTTT